ACTTCAAAACTATTCTGGTTAAAGGTATTTTGCAAGTCCTGCATATAGGATGGGTGATTCATGATTGATCTTCATCAATTAAAAGAATTCCTAAAATCCATTTTCGAAAGGTCTTTTAAGATTTAATCGGAGGGGAGAGAGATTGGGGGTAGGGCAAGTGGAATTGAGGGGGAAGAAGCACTGCTATCAACCTATATATACATCACTTAGTACTGTTTTGTTCAATGGATTGTTGGTACAGAATATGACCTTCAAGCACTGTCAAACATAGCCAAGACATAGGAATTTAATTTTCATATGACCCTAAACTTACATTTGATCGACTCGTCCTCCAAGTGGTGTGGTGGGCCACCAAATGGTCCTTAACTATTCATTGATATTAAGCAAAGAGGATATGGTATTTTTTGATTGATGTCTACATTATACTCTAGTTGAAGGGACATTTCATTTTCAAACCAGCTATATTGCTGAGGCTAGGGTGGTCCATCTTTTTATCTAGGACTAGGAAATTACACATAATTTCTTTGTATGGAAGTCCCATAATGTTGTCCGCGGATTTCTACGACAAAGGAGATGTTCCTATACTAATGCTATGCCATTTTTGATTGATTAAAGTTTCATGCTGCTCACCACCCACTCCTCGAGGCAAGGATGGGACAATACTGTCATTTCAAGATTTACAATCCGATACATTTTCATTATGTACCTACCAAACCTATCATCTCATGTGCCAAAATCAAACTGTTCTTCCTTCTCCGCTTCTTTGTTATCTACATATGCAGCACAACTTCATTCTCGTTTGCTCTGCTTAATCTTCCTTTTCTGAAGGAAAGTAGCAAGCCACTCCCCTACTGGTATTGGTACATAAGACAGACAGGAGGTTGCTCAATCAGCCAAGCAGTCCATTATTTATGTGCCAGTGCAATGCGGTCGAAATACATACTCTACGTTCAAGTTTTTTTTTTTTCAAGAAATAAAACAAATATGTTATCTACTTTCAAGGAAAACAAATCTAGTCTACGTTCAAGGTTTTCAAAATAAATATTCTTAATCACCTTTTTCATTTTTCTGGAGGGTGGGGGCTTTTAAGGTTCATTTCTTACCCCGCAATCACAATAATGGGGATAAGTTTACGTATAATGGAAACTGATTTTAAAAGCCTCTTCCTTGTTACAAGTTACAACCCAGGAATGCTAAGTCACTTTCCTTTATTGTTGCTTTCCTCCTCTTTTTTTAAAATTAAACATTGTGTTTGATATCTCTAAATCTATGACCAAACAATTAAGCAACTGGACCATAACTACTCAAACCAAGACCAACTACTAGTCACACAGGCCATAGATTAAAACCGACAGCTTTTTTTTTTTTTTATCAAGTAAGATGTTATTATCAAAAGCATCAAGAAGATGCATAGTTACAAAAGATCAGATGCGAAAATAAAAGAAAAAACTAGTCCCTTTACAGTATGTCAATCTAAGACAAGGGAACTAACAGTCCAAAAGTTGATCAGAACTAATTGCAGTAGCTATCTTAGTCTAACAAAAAAGATTGAGCAGGCATCTAGCTTTGAGAGAGTGATTTGAGTTGAGATCCCATCAAACCATCTACTATTCCTTTCATTCCACAAACACCAAAAAATAACTGCAGGGATCATCAACCAGATCTTCTTAATGGCCATGTTACTAGCATTTAGAACATCATTGGCCCTGTATTAATCCAGTCATGTTTTGTGCGTTTTACAGGGAGGCTCTGAATAGCCAGAATAGCAGGGGAGATCACACACATTTGAACTGTCATCTTTTTTTCCTCTCCGATAACCTCTTGCATTTATGCATGATAAAAACTAGCATATATGATTGCTAGATTATGCTGTGTATAATCACCTAACAGAATCAGGATTCACATCATTTTATCTTGCGGGAGGGGAAAAAAGGGGAAGGTGATCGGGGTTGTGGTAGTTATCATATACACCTACCTTAAAGAATGTCGTTGCCATCATCCACCAACGTCTATCAGCATGTTTCTCCAAGTCCCCATGATGCAGAAAACAAAAGGCCTTCACTGCAGCTACATGGCAAAAACAAGGAGAGAACTTCCTAACCACAAGCTCAAGCAGTGAGCAAAAGATAAAAGCTAATGACACCTAAAATAAATATTGCTTATAGAATAATAAACAAGAATACAAAAATGTACAAGGACCATGTCATATAAGTGAAATGTCATCCTCAAATCATTAAGATGCAGCTTGTTATAATCATCAAGGCAACAGCAGTAGGATATGCGACGCATACACATAATCAGAAGCATGAAGAGGTACAGAGTAAGGGCAAGAAAAAGAAGAGTCTGAATTTGAATAATAAACAAAGTACAACATAAAAGCACTTCCAAAGAAGAGAAGCAAGACAATTGTAAAATGTTCCCCTCTTTTTTCTTGGGTGATGTAAAATCTAATTGTTTTATGAGTTGCCAAATAGACAGTGCAAAAATTCAGAAACAGGCATGACAAATGTTAACCCAACATTACTGGTTTCATAAAACCATTTTCTATTTGAATAAGCGACATGAACAGAAATGGAAAAAGAAACTTAAAAAGTTACAATTAAGCTTATATTTACAAACAACAATGTCAATCAGATTCAAAAAGTATCCTTTTTAATCAGGTAAAGCTTTCATTCATAAGATACAGAAGATGCAAATATTACAACAAAAGAGGCTAGCTCCTATAAAAAATTACGTATCTCCAGGCAAAAATTGAACCTTAGAAAGTCCAAAAAAACTTCAAAACTTTACCTTACTCAGAATACATCAAGCAGAAATGTTAGTCAAACATCTAGCTTTTAATTTGTGGTAGCGAGTTGAATCCCATCAAAGCAGTGCTGATGTCTGTCCTTCCAAATTGTCCAGATGATGCAGGCATGAATCCTTAAGTGAGTGCTTCTGGTGGATTTTCCAACTCCACCTTCCCCAAGTGCAAAGAGTACTTTATATTTATAATACAGATGTAAATGCCATTTTTTATTTTGTTTTCAAATTCACTGACTACTTTTCTTATAACTTGTTTAAAAAGAGGTTTTTCATAGAAAGTTTTTAACATCCTGTTCTTAATCACTGACGTATTCTTAAGATTTCCTAAACAATTATTAAATCATTTTGCCAGTCACATTGAATATTCAGTGTTACACCCTCAAGTTTGAGCCAATGATAAGACACACGCTTGAGCATCATGATGCCTGTACTAAAACTCCACTAAAGCCAGCACACACCTGCGCTGCAACTAGCTTTAGGTCTTAAACACGCCTCAAGAGCACCATTAACAACATTCAGAAAAAAATAAGAGTTTCCTGCAATACTTCAAGAATTATTAAGTAATAATTGCATTTACCTGCAATACTACAAGATAAAGGACTCAACATTTTGCAACTCAGAGAATGAACAACCAGCAAGAAAGAGAAAATACAGAGGAAGTCATTTAGAAAACCTAATTAATAGCATGTTTGGCCAAGCTTCTTTTTGGCCAAAAGTGCTTTTTTTTTTTTGCCAAAAGCACTTTTGGCCAAAAATTGAGGTGTTTGGCCAAGCTTTTGGAAAGAAAAAAAGTGCTTTTGAGGAGAAGCGGAAGCAGTTTTGGAGAAACAGAAAAAAGTAGCTTCTCTCCAAAAGCACTTTTTTGAGAAGCACTTTTGAGAAAAATACACTTAGAAGCAGTACTTAGAAGCAGTTTTTTAAAGCTTGGTCAAACACTAATTGCTGCTCAGAAGTGCTTTTCAAACTAATTAGCCAAACACAAACTGCTTCTCGCCAAAAGTACTTTTGAGAAAAGCACTTTTGAAAAAAAGCACTTCTCAAAATAAGCTGATTTTTGCAGCTTGGCCAAACGGGCTATAAGACTTGCTCCCTCACACTCTCGAGATCTTCCCTGCATGCTTCTTTTTCATTAGTCGCTTACTTCCCTATACGTCTATTTTTCCTTTAATATGGAGATCTGTGACAGCTTTTGTATCTGCCCTCTTATTTTTATTTTGTTTTTGTTTTTCAAATACATACCTATCCTTTTTCATTGTCATTGCTGTCTTTTGAGAGGGCCCGCACGTGAGGGGCGTGTTGAGAATATAATTAAACAAATAAAAGTGTGCTCTTAAGCTTCTAGATGAGATGATCATGTACTTACATGAACAAACCAATTGCTTGTAGAAGTCATGGGATCATGAATCAGAGTAAGAGAGAGTTGCAGGTTTTCTCAACCTCCTGCCTTCAAATTTATCACATCTAATATTGCAAGAGGCCTTGATAACCTCAGAGAGGTAACAACTGTACTGTGATACTCTAATTTGTTTCAACACAAAATGACTCTTTCTTTTTCTTTTCATAAGTCTCAACATTAAAGTGACATCAGTTAAAATATCAAGAATATGCTCCACAAAAGAAAAACTTAGCGGGAAAATCAAAGAACAAAGCTAATTAGAGGAACAAACCTTCAATTTCTTCCTCATTGGACCAATGTTAAAGAGATGCAAATCCAAACTGCACATAATTGAAGCAGGCACATACCTTTCACCTTCAATTTCTTCCTCATTGGACCAATGTTAAAGAGATGCAAATCCAAACTGCACATAATTGAAGCAGGCACATACCTTTCAACTTTCATCATCAAATTCAACCTTTCAACTTTGCTCTAGATGTCTCAAGAAAACCTGAAAAGGAGCTTTGCTCTAGATGTCTTTTATGTGGCAGAGAATTGGAAACGAACAGCCACTTACGTGTTGAGAATATAATTAAGCAAATAAAAGTGTGCTCTCTCAAGCAGCTTAAGCTTCTAGATGAGATGATCATGTACTTACATGAACAAACCAATTGCTTGTAGAAGTCATGGGATCATGAATCAGAGAGAGTGAGAGAGAGAGTTGCAGGTTTTCTCAACCTCCTGCCTTCAAATTTTTCACATCTAATATTGCAAGAGGACTTGATAACCTCAGAGAGGTAACAACTGTACTGGGATACTCTAATTTGTTTCAACACAAAATGACTTTTTCTTTTTCTTTTCATAAGTCTCAACATTAAAGTGACATCAGTTAAAGTATCAAGAATATGCTCCACAAAGGAAGAACTTAGCGGGAAAATCAAAGAACAAAGCTAATTAGAGGAACAAACCTTCAATTTCTTCCTCATTGGACCAATGTTAAAGAGATGCAAATCCAAACTGCACATAATTGAAGCAGGCACATACCTTTCAACTTCCATCATCAAATTCAATCTTTCAACTTTGCTCTAGATGTCTCAAGAGAACCTGAAAAGGAGGGGATTCCAACTTTGCTCTAGTTGTCTTTTATGTGGCAGAGAATTGGAAACGAACAGCCACTTATTCCTTCACTGCCCTATTACTAGTCAACTGTGGCAATTGTTTCTTAACATTGTTGGGCTAAGATGGTCTATACCAGCTACTACTGTTGAGTTACTAAAATCTTGGAACAACATTGGAGACTCAGCGAGTCAAAAGACATGGCGGAGACTGATACCGGCATGCACATGGTGGACAGTATGGAAGGAGAGAAACTCAAGAGTTTTTGAAGACAGATACAAATCCGTTCAGGATGTCAAGATGGACTGTATTCTTCTATTTCATTTTTGGTGTACAGAAAGTCTAGTAGAGGATACAGAATCTCTGGTAGACATGTTAGGCTTTTTGTAATTAGTTAGATCAAGATTGATCTACTATTCCCTGTACATATGGTTATGCACTGCCTTAGTGCATTTTTTTTTAAAATACAAATGTTACCATTCTCAAAAAAAAAGAAAATCAATCTTTCATTTTCTTTTTCTGTCGACAGTATTGTTGATCTACTCATTCACATCCTACCTTATATTCCACCAATGTAAATGAGTTCTACCACTTTGGCAATTATTGCAGATTGTCGTGATATTTCCAAAAGAGATCTATCTTTCTTTGTTTAAACCAGTTCTACTTTACCACAAGATCTTCCTAAAAAAGAAGACATTATATGAGCTATCAAATAATATATATATATATATATATNATATATATATATATATATATATATATATATATATATATATATATATATATATATATATATATAACATTTATTGAACAGCATTGTGGTTAAAGCTGTCCCACCTTATCTACCACCAACATAAACATAAATAATTTTTCACTTTGGCAACCCTACAGACATTCATGATCTTTCCAAACAAGATCCATCTTTCAAAGTGTTTAAGAAAGTTCTGATTTACTACCTTTATGGAAGAAAAACATTATATAAGCTATAAAAATTGAAGTGCTCAATGCAGCTAAAGCTATTTTCTTCTTTGTCCTCCTTAGATTTAATAAAGGACTTGTCACTTTATATTAAATACTTTGTCCTCAGTCTTTAAGGATCGCTTTGTTTAAAGTATAAAGTCATAAATCTTCAGATATTGAACATGCCCGGACAATTTGCCGCTTCCATTCCTGTAACATCAATTGCCAATTTAAATTGAATATCCTGCTAGTAAGGCGCAACATGTACACCGGTGCTGATATATGTGATTACCAAACCCAACCAGCATAACTTTCAAGGATTGGTAAAGTTCCAAGATGGACTTCAAGTAGGTTTACTAATTTTTTTTAAAGGATTGATAAAGTAGTAATTAGATTTCCAGTAGGTTTTCTATTATAAAATCTTATTTTTTGAGAAACCGAACAAATGTTGTATGCATGGGCAAAGTGGCAGCTCAACTTCAACTTGAATGGGAAAGTGGAGTCTTTGAGATGGCTAAAAAGCAAATAACAGGAAAATCCGGATCAAGAGAAACCAACTCAACCTCTATTGGGTACCTAAAACAAGAAAAATCTCAAAGAAAGTTTTACTGTGCTTTATATTATAACGAAAAAGCTGTAGACAGGACAACTTTGAATCCTATTTGTTATCCCATGATCCTTTCCATTCATAATAACAAGCCATTGATAATTTGCAATTGTATTTCAGATATCAATCAATCAATAAATTACTACAAACCCTCTTTAACCATTCCACCATCCTACTTGGCTCCAAAATCATTTCTTGTTCGTAAAATTTTCTATTCAGGCAAATTAGGATTTCTCTAGAACTAGACGTTCTCTAGCGCGTCCTGTCCCTTGCGAAATCAGCAGCATTAATCGCAACAAATTATTGGTTTATTTAGACACCTTCTCGTCCTCTTTTTAGCACCTTCAGCCATCTCAAGCAATTCATTTAGATGATGACAGAAAAGCCATGCATTTGACTTCTTACATGCATCCATTTGAGCAACTAACATAAACAACGGATCCTAGCTGGGTTCAAAGTTCAAACACTCACAACAAGATATTATTTTTCAAAAGAAGAAATGTCAAATATACACTTAACTCTTCTAACCACCTTTGTCATTAGGAAAGGCCAAGAACTCAACACTGGGAACATGGCAATACAACAATAGGACGAGATTAAACCCATCCCCAGCCTATCGGAGAAATTTGTTCTCGCTCTAGAAAACAAGCATCTGAAAATTGAATGCCATGCCTTCATCCGCGATTGAAAGATTTCGAAGTGCATAGTTATCACCTCATGTGTGAAACGATGCACTTTGATCCTTCAAACAATGAAGTTGCATAGTGATTTCAAGGAGAACTGGTCTACTCTTTAAATTTAACTTTGGAAAACAGAAAATTAAGATTTAAAGAGAAATGGAGAGAAAAAATAGGACCCTTCGTCTTTCAAGTACTAGGAATCCTCTCCCCATATATTCTGCATTCCCTTTGTTGTATTTTTGTTTTCTTTTCTTCGGTTTTGTAATGCCCTTCTACTATTTCTGTTTCTCTGCTTCTTCTGATTCACTTCTTCAGTTTTTGCTCCCAAGTCCCAATGATGACTCTTTCTTCTCCTTCCATCATGCAAGTCGTCTACTTCTCTACCTCATATCATTTGCTCTTATTCTTTACTTTTAATGAAGAAACTAAATTCATTCTTTGTATGGTCAATCCATTGAGAATTAACATGTCGATTTTTCAAATGATGTTATCCTTTTTTGTGCTAGTTGAATTACTTTTTTTTAAAATGGTGGTATCTGGACCAGTTTGCGCACACCTTATCTATCCAATTGGATACCTGCTACCTCTCACCAGCACAAGTACAGGGTACTCTGCCCACCAAAGTTTGACCAGATGAGAAGAAATCATCTAGTGTTTTTTTTTCTCCAATTGGGATTTGGACCCGAGACCTCATGGTTCTCTCCTCCCTCAATTCATTAACCAACAGGACACACCTTTGGGTTCTAGGTAAATAACTTCTAATGATGCATTAATTGTATCTTTTGGAGTTATCATGAAACATGGGGTTATTGCATATTGGATGCTAAAAGTAGTAGTTTTAATAAGTGTTGTTAAACACTCATTTCAATCCTCTTAAATCTTAAAATCAGGTGAAGCTCGGGTTATAGCTGCTTCGCCCCGCTTAGGAGGCAATTTAATGGAAGTATCAAGGCGTTAATACGCGCATTTCACCCTTAATGTGCTCTATCTTGAAAAAAAAGGCACTAAACAATAAA